CGAGGGAGTCGAGGAGAGGATGTCCATCTTCTTGATAGGCAAGGATCTTGGCAATGTGGCATATTCGTCCTGGATCAAGAGTGTGCTCGACCAAGGAACGATGTATGAACTCCTGGGACAAACCACGAACGAGGAATCCTTGGGAGACGTCGTCGAGATGGTGTTGGGATTCTTTGAGGTGATGTCGTACTTCCAGCACGAACTGCCACTGTGGAAGGATGCATGGAAGATCAAGAGGGAGTTCGAGCAGTCAATAGTGCGACACCTCGCTGGGAACGTGACCCACACGACGGGCCAGAACAGAAAGCGGAACAGACCGTCCGCACAGCTCGGCGTGCCCACGAAGGAGGTGCTTGACATCATGAACAAGGTCAAGCCCAGACATCCACGATCCCTGATCACCGAGCCCTCTGCACAAGGTTCCAAGAGAAAGGCCACGGAGGGCGAAGATGAGGGTCTTGGTCAAGCACCAGACCCGAGTCGAAGTTCTCAAGCCAATACTGAGAAGGAAGACAAGAAGCAGCGAGTGATCGACGGGCGGAGAGCGGCACTAGGATTCCTGGAGTCAATGGAGAAGTGCATGGGAGATATGGGGATCTGTAAGAAGTGCGCGAACCTGGCCCACGACGGCGACTGCAAGGACATTGAAGAGGCTGCTGGAAATGAGAAGGCGATGAAGGTGCTCCGTGAGCTACTCAGCAGTGACCCTGTTTCATCTGATGAAGACATGGGGGATACGGAGGAACCGTCCTCATCAACGTCCAAGGAAAGAAAGAAAGGGGGACAAGCAGGGAAAGAAACAATTGAGATGTACAGCTACACCATTAATTTGGTGGAGATGGCTGACACGGCTGAGGGAGGAGAGCTACAATGTGGTGGCGTCGACCTCACCTACAACCCGTGCGGGGACAGCAGGACATTCAAGAAGACGCTTGAGATGGGATGCGACACCATCCCGTGCTACATCCCGAAGTATGGCGATGTGAGTGATGTGCACTTGCCATGGGCGTATGCGTCCATCGTTGACCCCAAATACTTTCCCAAAGGTGCAATCCTTGAGCAAGTGGACGTGATGCAACTTGGCAAGAGTGTCAACTTCTGCATTGCTCCTTTCGACGGTGCTCCACTATGCAGGATTGGTGATGATCGCTCGGTATTTACTACAAGGGACCAAGCAAACCAGCTATCTCACGACCTATGCAGAGTCCTTCGACACAAGATCGGCAATTGCCGAGGAAGTGCTTTCAGGTGCGACGAGGGTGGATGGGTCGACATTGATGCTGTCATTGACGACCGGAACAACGACATATTCCCACCATACACCACGAGAGCGAAACGATACATGGGCATCATGGAGGTGATCAAGTGGCAGGAATCCGGAAGCAGAAAATCGAGATTCCAGGTTTTGGCAGCAAGGTTTCCGAGCATCATGAACCCGAACGACACGAGGGCAGCCAGGGAGGAAATGACCGAAGCTGGCGTGGATCGGGACGACATCGACAGGATGTTCAACAGATGCGATGGATGGTACAGACCTTGGTGCATCCGAGTCACAACCGGTCACAGTGATTTTGGATTCATGAGCTCATCCGCACTGGCGAATAGGTATTCCGCAAGAATGGGTGATTCTCTCGGAGGAGCATTCCATGTGACGTATGTGGAAAACCTGCCAAGCATCGTACGCTGTGGGTTAGTCCCCGGCGGAATCGATGGCGGCAACAGGCTAGCACTGCACTTCGGGGCGTTTGCTCCATGGGATGAGATGAACGTGGCGACGAAGACAACGCTACGGAACGTGAGGAGAGGGGATCCGATTGCGATCATCTATATTCCCAGTGCAACCCTCGCGCGGTATGGGGCTGGAGTCGCGGCTAATGGGACTTTCATGGTCTTTGACGTGATCCCGTTCTATGAGGTCAAGTCCATTTGGATTGGCAAAAGCAACGGAGGGAAGCGCCTGGAGTACGCTGACATCAAGAGGGCGTACTCGAAGTGTGTGGAGAACGAGATCTGCCCTGGCTTTGTCAACTCTTCCCAAGAGTCGGCTGCGATGTTCCTCCAGAACGTCGCAAAGATCAGCGAGAGGATGCCGGAGACTGAGACAGGTGCCGATAATCTGCACTACATCGTTGACATGGTTAATCGTGCCTGCGAACTCTATCGAATCAACAAGATGGAAGAGTTCAATGCACAGGTCAACGAGGTCCGGGACGAAATCAGCAAAGTCGTCATCCTGAATGACGAGACATGGGAAGGACTGAGGTGCCGGATATGTCCATCATGTGCGACCGCGATCCCCACCTGCTTCTGCTTATGCCTGGAATGCGAAGCACAACTGATCTCCATCGGAAGGTATTACATTCACATCAAATCCGATGACGAGGAGGACAACCAAAACCCCAACGTCTCTGGAGATGCCAGGCGTGCACAGGAAGAAGCTAACCACGATGCGGCAGCACAGGAGGATGAAGACGAAGCGGAGGAAGTTCCGGGAGAAGATGACGACATGGACACGCAAGGATATACATCCGGCTATGCGTCAGAAGAAGAAGACAGCGGTTGGCATTACCGCGACACCGATCTGGCGTCACGGGACATTATAAGTTCCCAACGGATGGCGATCTGCCTTGACGAGCCGCGTGAGGCTCAGTACATGGCAGGATTTATCGCACTCCAGATGTCCAAGATGTGGGGGATGTTCGAGGGTGGTGAGGAGAGAACGATGAATGCCAAGCTCGAGGGGAGAGAGGGCTGCCCTTACCACAATGATTTCAAGAGGTACCCCAACATCACTGAGCACGATCAGGAAGGTATACTATTGCCATCAACAACAACGAAGATTTCTCAGTCGGAGAATGTTCGGACAAGAGCCTTCCGATCGGTTGAGGAGCGTGACGAATATATTCGTATGATGGTGTGCAAATGCGAGGGACTTTACACATTCTACAAGCTGTGGATTGCAGCGAGAATCCTCGATGTCACCAAGGAAGAAATGAAGCTCCTGGTCAAGGACCGAGTGCACCCGGTGGGTGATATTATTTTCAGATGCTTTGCACTAGCTTTCAACTGTAAGTATATATCATTCGTGAGGGATGGCCTGAACCTTGGCAAACATGGTTACACGGTCAACGTGAGCGCCATCATCTCGGCCGTCGACCCGAACAAATGCGACACACCCCTGCTGGATTGGTGCCTTCGGAAAGGGCACTGGTTGCCAGAGGACTACAACAAGAAGTGTGTCCGGGCACGAGAAGCCCAGAAGAACTTGGACGAGGAGTTCCGTCGACGCACTCACAGACTGTCCATTGGGGACCGGTATGCGTAGTGAAGATGCTGATTGCGGCACGATGTGGGTTAGTCCCCATCTGTTGCTTGCGTCTCATCAACACCATTGCGACGGAACGACTTTACATTATGATATGATTTCATATATCCAAGTTGAATGGATGTGTACATGGTTACATATTCCGATGACTATGACGCTCTGGATATTCATGGATGGAACTATTACCTTATAGATGATATCTTTTCATTATTTATGCATTGTCCATGGTATCTGGAATGGCTATGATTTGCATTGATTACTCACCGATGTTTCTTTGCCGGAGATATGCAGACCGATCACAAGCGGGCGCGTCTGGTGGACTTTTGTGGCCAACCCATTTATGGATGACAGCTGCGCGATGCGCAAATGCGGCAGCTGGAATGTTCACTGGCGGTCAAGTGAAGTGGCCACAGTGTATTATATACACCTGCATATGGATGTGTGCTTCGATTGGAGGATGAATGTTTCACTTTTCGTACAATCGAACCCGGCATGTTTCACAGCGAATGAACGGTGTAGTGATAGCAAGTAAAAGAATGCACGACACGATTTCGTAGTTGAAGCCGTGGCCAGTGGAACGTTTTGTGGTGTTTGGACCGCATGATGAACAATGCGACCCAAATGGGGGATGTTAAAACCCTCTAGGCCCCGTGCCGAAATTGGGTAGCTGTTCTGAGGTCCTTGTTGGTGTTGCTTCCCAAGTTCCATTGATCGCCATTTGGCTCAAGACACAATTGAGGTTCAAGATCTGATGTGTGACTGCATACCTACGTGATCGGCATTAAGAGCGAAAACAACTGCTTGCGCTGCATTTGTCAGGACCACTGTTGTAACTATCATTCCTTCTCCCTTACAACGTTTACACGGGTTCGGCTATAACGGCATCGTCCGTATACACCTTTCTACGTGGTTGGTATTACAGCTTGAGGGTTCGGTGCATAGCGTCCCACGGGACGTCACCTTGCCGTCTCTTGACATAATGGAACATCCAGAATTTTCAGCCATTCCAGAGGTTCCCTGAAAGGAGACCACTTTGCACAGTGATTCGCCATGAAAGAATTGGGCCTGGACACGCGTGGCTCAGGGACGTATTTGGCTACAATGTTCAATGGTTCGACCCTAAAAAGTGTTGGTGTAGAGAAGTTCCCATTTGGGTTTGTCTCAATGGGGATCAGCAGAGGCCGTAACAACGAACAATTGTAGTCCAAGCTTTGGGCAAGGCTACATGGGCAGGCTCTTTGGTTCTACGCTCGACCTGCGTCGCTTATGGTTGGTATGTTTTTGGGAAAGCAAAGGGAAACCTAACTTTGTAAGGGGACTTCTGAGAAAAGGGAAACAAAAAACTCTTGGACAAATCATAGTTCTCCACTGGACACGTTGACAGTCTTTTTGCACGTCTCTTCGGCCTAATTAGACGAGATACACTCGACTTCCACAAAGTTTGGCATCGGGCCGTCTTAGTCCCCCCCCCACATGTGTTAAGGCCGCAGTCTATACATGTTTTTGTTAAGCCAAGCGAAGTTCAGCCTAGTAAGGAGGTTTTAGCCTGCATGCAGCCCTTCCCGGAAGGGCCTTTAAGATGCACTGGGCACCAATCCAAACCACCAATTATGTGGAAGCTGAACGATAGCGCTTCCGCTTCCCTCTCTATCGGCGGATTTTCGGCGGAACCCAGGCGCCGGAGCCTTTCTTCGGTGGAGAACCACCTCCGCGGGAGGCGGAGACGCCAAAGAAAGCGAGAAAGCGTGCGCGTTCAGTAATTTGATTTTAGAAAGGTCGAGGGAGATGTGTCTTCTGGGTACCTGGACTTTTGGTTCTGACCCTTAAAAAATGGTTGGTCATTTACTCTCCTGTCCAAGGTCGAGGGAGATTACCCGGTTGGTCAATTACCCTCCTGCAATATGGAATTTACCAGGGGGCCCTTTTTCAAGGAAAATTGTCTTCCAGGACCCCCCTGTGAGGTACCCTTTTTTCAAGGGTCCTGACCAGACTCTAGTATGCAGTTTAGCAATAGGGAACCCGAAAGCCATTTTGGATTTGGGGTCCGAATCCAAAAAACGACACACCCAGATGTATGAGTGTCTTTTTTTTGTTAAGATAATATGGTTTATCCAAGGAACAAATACGCAAATTTAGGAGATGGAGTGGCACAATTGGACGGAGGCAGGGCATTTTGTCGGTACCCAGGAAGCAGTTGGTTCAAGTTGATGGCCATACTAGAAGTTGTCTAAGCGAATCGACCCTTTGACCTTTGCTTTTCCCATGGTCCATGTTTGGTCAAGGTCTCAAAAGATGAAATCACCTGAGCCACAATCAAAACCCGGGTAGATGAAGGTTACTAAGGGGCAGTCCCAGCCAGAGTTAGAGTTGCGGATATCCGCCTTCTTAATTCTTGAAGCGTGGTTCTGGGATTACGACCATTTTAATACCGGGTTTTGATTGTGACTCACCTTAGTTTTCCACTTTTTGAGTACCCCCACAATGACTTAAACCCAGTGGGTCATGTACCCAAAAAAGTTGGAACCCCTGGGTTTAAGTCTATTTGCAGGTACCCCCTACTCCAAATACCCACTTTTCGTTAGGGTAGTCTTAGAAAAACCTGGTTTTCCATGGTAAATACCTCCTTTTTTGTAGAGGGTCGACAACATACCAACTAAAAAATGAAGGTATTGGGTGTAAGGGGTAGTCAAAAAAGTAGAAACCGTGAGTCGAGGTCCCCAAAGGTGAAATAAATCACCTTCTCTTTCTTGGTCAGGCGAATGAGTCTAGTCCCACAGGAAAAAAAAACGGTCAGCTGTTATTTATTTTTGTCTCCCATGTTTCGGGGGCCAAAAGCTAGGTTTTTCAGCTAGGTGCCCGACCTCTCACCCCTTCTTTGGGGTTTTGGGTTCTAAAGTAGACTGCAGAAAAAGTTGGTACCCCTATTCTAACCTCCAAAACTGGAGTGGGTCCCATCCTTTGGGCAAGTACTCCCTGAGTTCATGGAACTTGTTTGGGTCTGGAGCATAGCGGCAAAGCAAGTGGCGTCCAATTGCTTGAGAATCGATTTTATGTCCCCTGTTAAAGTTGGAACCTATCACTACGTGTTTTTGATTGTTATACTCCAAATACCCACTTTGTCAGGGTATTTGTTGGAAAATCGATCGGGTTTCCATGGCAAATTCCGATCCTCTTTTGTTTTTTTGTAGAGGGTCGACAAATCATTACCAACTAAAAAAAGAGGGTATTTGGAGTAGGTGGGATATGAACTGACAAAAGTAATATCCTAAAAAAGGCCGGGTATTTGGAGTAGGGTATTTTTAGCAAGGTGCATTCCCCTTTTGGGTGAGGTGGGGTTGCGCAAATTGTTTCATCGGAAGTGGCCAGCGACGGTTGAGGTGCCCCCGTCACCTCCAAATACCCGACCTCTTTTTAGGGTTTGGTGGTTTTTCGGAGGGGTTCCCCACGTATCTACAAGAACCAGGGACCCGGTTCAATTTCCCAAACCAACCAGGGGTTTCCGGATTATTACCCCCTACTCCAAATACCCTCTTTGTTTAGTTGGTATGATTTGTCGACCCTCTACAAAAAATGGATGGAAACCCGATTGGTTTTCCAAAAAATACCCTGAACAAAGTGGGTATTTGGAGTAGGGGGTGAGTTTTGGGAAACCATCCAAGGCTGTTGTCAGTTCATGTCAACCCTCTAAAGAAGGAGGTATTTACGGTGGAAAAAAAAGAGGAAAAACGGTGTTTCAACCACAGGGTCACAAGATTTGACATTTTACATAAAGGAATCAAGGCCAAAGAATCAGTGCCCGGATTATGTCTTTCTCGCACTTGTTTAGACCTTATTCCGTCTCAACAACATAGACATCCAGTCTCTTGCCACGAGGCCGCGTTGGCATACTTTCCAGCACTACGTTGCCTAGTTGGAGGGCTTCAGGATTGCAACCCGCGTATTCGTGGCCAAGCACTATGGCTTACTCTCGCAATGACCTTCAGTCTCGCCCGCAATGCCCCCGAAAATGCAGCACATCTCCTGGAATGTAGACATGGGTAGCTCTGTCTTGACACGCGCGCCAAGCATGCCTCCAACCTAGAGACTGCGTGGCCGCATCCGAACAATAGCGGCTGAGCAAAAGCGCTGCAGGATCCAACCACTGAGGGTGCGCACGTTGATCATGGAAGGCATGCTAAACGACACGGCGAGACATAGTCACAGCCAAGCAACATCTGTTTGCTTGTGACGAAAGCAGCCGTAGCATCGCAGACTTTTTTGCCCTCCAGGCACACGAGGCGCCAAAAGGAGGTTCGAAGACTTGGCCTCTTCCCCGGCGCAGCTGGCAAGATGGCGGGTTGTCAAGTTAGCTCCGCGCCATTTGTCACTCTCGCACTTGCTTTGCAAAATGATCGGCGTATCGTAGGCTGCCGCCGCGATGGCCAGGTTTGGGCAAGCGGCGGTGGTAGGCCGGCAGATGTGCCCGCGTTGGCTGCGCGAAGAGCCTCACCATAGGCGCGGATCGGTCTCGGTTGGCAAGGAAGAAACAAGGCAAAAAGCCACCGTACTGTGTCGCCTAGGTGCACATGCAAACTGCACACAACAGGCGGGCGCGTGTGTAAACGTGTGTCAGAAGTGGGGGTTGGGCGAGAGGGGGCGGGCGAGAGCAAAGCCACCTATACTCGCGCGGGCGCTCAGCCAACCCACGAGAAACTGGATCTTCCGCACCAAGTTTGACTTGAATCGCTAACCTGTCTGTGCTCCCACACCCATCACAAGTAGAGGAATGCCCTTGTGCAAGTGAACCCGTAACTCAGCAGTGACCGACCGCTGTCTTGTCTTCGACTTCGCTGGCCAAGCTTGCGCAGCCAAAGTCGTGGACTTTCCGTTTGCAAGCAGTGGCCTGCCACTTGTGTCCAGGTTGAGGCTGCTCACAAGGGAGGGTCCGGTCAAGTTGGTGGTGCCGTAGTGCGCAGATCTCTGACATGTCTTTGAAGCAGGCAGACGGAAAGCCTGGGTTAACCACGTGTGGGGGGGAGGTTATCACAGCAACCTGCGATTTTTTTGGTCAAACAGGGGTCCCTTCTGAGGGACCCCAAAAAACCAGTGTAGGCCCTACACTGGTTTTTTGGGGGTCCCTTGCAAGAGACCCTCGATTGTCCGAAAAAAATCAAAGGAGCCGCCCGTGGCCGCGCCTGCGCTGTGGCTGTTTCTCTTTGCGCCGGTTGTTTCTGAGAACCAGAGGTGCGTTGCCAATCGCAACATGGAACAAAACGGAGTGTGGCGCGAGCGTCTCGCATTTTCTGCTGCAACTCCGCGACTCAAGCCACGGGGAGCGAAGGCGCTACACGCCTCCGATGTGGCCGCGCACCGGCGGACCAGGCAGAACTTTTCGTAATCGTGCAACACAGTTTGAATTGACTGGGGTTCACGCCCAAGCTGGTCTGCAAGTGAATGTATCTCCGGCTGCGCTGCCCTTTGCCTCACTTGTGACACAAAATCCTACAAGCAAACAAACCACACTCGCTGCGCTTGTACGACGTTAAAGCAAGCAGAGGGTCATGTCTGCAGAATGAGCCGGAAGCTCTAAAGTAACGAAATCACTGACACTTGAGAAATGGCCTGCGCCGTTTCCGAAAACATCGAAGGAGAACCACAGGAAAACAGCGTCCAAACCACAACTTCCCTGAAAGCAAAGCGAGCTGCGTCGCAATTGCCACGGGACACCTACGGTCCCCCTATTCTGCCAGGTCCTGCTTGACATCACTTCACGGGAAACACTTGTTGCGAAGTGACATTTCGTTTGGCAAGGCTTTTCACCTTGTTGGATGCTAAGGTGGAGGCAGGCGCCCGGCGCCTCGGGCGCCCGGCGCGGGCCCGGCGCCCCGGGCACCCGGCGCCCCAGGCGCCCGCCGCCCCGGGGCGCCCCCCGCCCGGCGCCCGGCGCCCCAGAGCCGGCAGAACTCAAAAGATTTCTGCTCTGTTCAAATGGCTTTCAAACCCACGCTTGTGTTTGGGGCGCCAGGCAAAGGTCCACGTGACCTGACAAGCGTGCAAATGCAGGCACGACCCCCCGCTTTTGGGAGATTCTCGGGTGTCTCCAAGCGTAGTTCTGCATCTACGTGGAAGCCAAGACACAGCTTTGCGCTGTCAGCCAGAACAAGCCTCAACTCCCGCCGCCTCCTGGCTTCGTCCTGGTGACAAACTCCAGAGCGACACAAACAACTCAATGTCTTTGCCTCTCGGCATTCCGGGACTGCCTCGTCGCACAAGCAGCAATTAATGCTGGCCCTTCCTGCAACTGATTGACGCCGAGCGGGTGGAGTTACTGACTTGTTTGAAGACGCAGGTGAGAGCAAATTCGTTTAAATCAGTGCAAGCAAGGCACGTCATGGAAATACGTTCTGCCAGATGAATCTGGGATGTGCGCGGCACAAAAAAGGGATCTGGCCCGCCGTTGATGGTTGGCCTTGTTTAATGTCAAACCTTGTGACCCTGAACCAGTACCCAAAGAAAGGGCGGAGATTTGCCAAAACAATTGGCTAAGTGAAGGTAGGGGTTCCTGGGAGGGCCACACTTATTGTCCGTTGAGGCTGAAATCACTCCCAAATGGGTATGGGTGAAGATTAAATCACCAGACAGCAGATTGAGTGGTCCTTGTGCTCATTTACCAGGGTTAACCCCAAAGAGGGGACCCCCAAAAGGAGGGTGAGGGTGAGGGTTTGTTGGGTTCCATGCGCCGGGGTACATATTATGGTGTTGATTGTGGCTCCCCGTTGAGGTATACTCCTTCCATTTGCTTAAGAAATATGTGTGATTTCCCATTTTTTTAAAGGGAATCCATCACTACTGGAAGAATGTGTTTTTTTTAGCCGTGGGCTTAAGCAGGGCTCCTTAAAAGACACATTTTGCCACCATTTGAGACATGGCTTTTTACCAAAATAAAGTTGGACACCACCATTGACAAGTTGCAATGTTCAGGTGTTTTTCATCTAAGGATCCCTGCTGATTTTTGGGGTGGACTCTGGTTTACAGAGTCCGACAATCATATGTTCAATCTAAGGATCCCTAAGCAAATGGACTCGATCCCTCCTTTTGGGTCTAGAGGCTAGGACTTCCGAACCCGAAGGCGCTTAAGCTTTCCATCAGCGAAACCTTCCGGCGCGTTCTTCTCTTCAGAGTTCGCTCCAAACTTTGGGGCATTTTGTTGCGAAAAGAACCTAGGAAACGGTTTGGATGCGGTTTTTGTGGGTCCACCCTTGGACAGCAAAGGAGTACTAAGAGTATTAAAAGAGGAACTAGCCAAACCTGGAGAAACCGCAGAAAGCGCCTCCAATCCGTCTGCATCAAAGGGTCCCTTGTTTCCACTCACCCGGCAAACAAATAGAGTGTTTCCTTTGGTGCATTTTGCTTGGCTGTTAGGACTTTAACTTTCTGCCAATTAATGGGTTTCCATTAAACCCCTAAAAGTTAAACTTTTAGCAGGGGAGCAGAAAGCAACCGAGTTTTGCTTGGGTCCTAACTCGAGAAGTTCTGAACTCGAGACTTTTTTTCCGACCGGTTTGCTGTGGGATGGTGACGCGAAATCCAGAACTCGCACCACTTCAGAAGCCCTGGGTTCGGATTCGGCTTCGCATGCTTTTAGAGTCGTGGGAACGGAGCCGACGGAGTCCGTCAGTATGAACTGGATGTCTTGGCAGTTCTTTCAGACCATTGCCGCAAAAAAAAACTGGGCATCTAGCATTTTTTCTTGGACTCACCAGGTACCCTTGGGCAAGATTCCCACTTGAATCGGTGTAAGGCCCAGGAAAAGGAAAACAACAACTTTCTGAGTCTTGGACTTGGGTATTCTGGGTGTTGCCCACAACCATTTCCCGCAGGGTTTTGGGCCTCTGCTTTTTGGGGAGTTGGGCGTGACTCACCAAAGCGACGAACCGTTTTTGGGAGCCAAGTCACTGAGAATCTCGGCTTTGGCTTTAGCTGAAGAACCTCAGTCTGGCTAGACAGCTGAGAAATGTCCGCATCGGCAAACGTGTTGAGCATCCTTTTTCGCATATCACTTCGACCTAGACGAGGTACAACCTTTTGCATCGGGCCGGCTTGCTTTTGTTGGGCCAAGCAAAGTTTTCAGCCGGAGGTTTTCTCTGGGGGAACCGGGGTTCCTTGCATGCCTAAGGTTGGCAGGCCAGAGGTTGGAAGGGCCACTAAACGAGGTAGGCACAATCGCTTTCGGAGCCATGTGAGAGTTCCCGAGCTTAGCTCCCGTAGTTTGAGAAGATCACCGGAGGGTGCTAGTCTCTGATCAAGCCGCAAAGGTCAAAATACCCCTTTACTTGGGGTTAACAGTCACCGTAATCCACCCGAAAGGGACCCTTGATAGCCATGATAATGGTTCCTCTTTCTCGGCGAGCATTACCCAATCGGCCAGATTTGACCGAAGTTTTGTCCCCCCCCCTCCATGGCGCATACCTTTTTTTGTTTGAGTCGTTCCAAAACGTGTTGTTTTTTTTCCGCCCCAGGCGCCGGAGCCTTTCTTCGGAGGTGGTGGCTCTCCACCTCAAGAGGAGGCGGAGGCGCGACTGCAGCGGCAAGCATTTTGAAGGTTCCTCAGCAGCCCCAAAGCAACCCTAAAATATGAAGGAGTTCCTTTGAACCTTACAAACACTACTAAAATAGACTACAGAAAAAGTTGGTACCCTTATTCTAACCTCTCTGCTGGAGGACCTAAAATATGCGGGAGTTCCTGGAACCCTCTTTTGGGGAGCCTCAAAGAATGAGGTCCAAGGGGCTGTAGGGGTTCAATTGCTTAAGCCACAAGCCTTGGTCGGACCCACGGACCCAAGAATTGGCGGTTTCATGTTCTTTTTCCTTTTAAACCCATCCCAAAAAGGGGCGAAACCGAGTCCCTCACAAGACACACCCATGTGCCTTTCTTGAGGCTACCCAATTCATCTCAACTGTTTGGGGTCTCCATGATCGTTTCACATTGGGTTCACCTTTTCTTGGTCGAAAGGGAAACCCAGAAAGCGAAAGCTCTCCGACCTCATTCTGGATGTGTCTTATATATGATATGGAACGAACATTTTCCAGCCAACCCTGAATTGGTGGTTCGGATTTCAACTTGTACCACTGGTTCTTGTGGGTCAATGGGGTTCCCAACCCCCTTCACCACCAAACCACCGCTTCGGCTCCAAAGCAACTGGGAGGAAGCTGAATTTTGTGCTTTGGGGTTCCACCTTCCCCCCTCCGCCTTCGCCGATTCGGCCGGCAAGCCAAGTGGCAAGCTGTTTGCCTCCAAGTCTGGGGCTTAGGGACAATTCCAGCCGACCTAGGAAACTAACCGAAAATTGTGTGGTGTGCGCATCCCAAAGACAGACCCAAAAGCGCCTTTTTGTATTTTCCAAGGAGTGGCTGAAAACCCAGTAAAAAAGCTGAACATGCGCTTCCTGAGTTTACGGACTTGAATCACTTCTTGGGTTTGGACCATTTCTGCGGCACACCAAAAGTCCAGTTATTTTTTCGTCTATAAGGGTACCTTCCCCATTCTTAACCCAGGGATCCGAATCTGTCTAGAAAACCGCCGGAAAACCCCGGCGAAACAGCGATCGGTTTTTGAAAAGAACGATGGTTGAAAAGAATGGGGACTCGGAATCAAGCCCTAGATTTCTTTAAAAAATGGGGTCATGGTGACCCGTTTTTATTTCGGGGCAGAAGGAGACTCCAGGACTCGAGTCACTTTTTCTGGCCCAGCCACTCGGGAAGCGAACACCGCCAGGTCTTCGATGGCTTCGTGGAAGCGGAGGCGGCCGAAGTCCGAATTCGCGACGAATGGCTCGTCTCCTATGCCCAAAGGCTCCAATCCGATGGATTTCGGGCCTTCAAACTTGACCTGGGTTTGAGACCGGGTCCCAACCGATTCCCGGGGTGTCTAATGGAGGGGTCGAAATGGTCTTGCATTGAAAGCCGAAGCCAGGAGCCTCTGGGTGATGTAATTTCCAATTCGGCCAGTGTTGACACCAGAAGAGCTTGGATTGTTTTTTTTTGCACATATTTTTTTCATGGTCCGCAAAAAACATATATTGGACTTGTAGCTCGTATGAGTCGCAATCAAAACCCGGGTAGATGAAGGTAGTAAGGGAAACTCCCAACCATAATTAGCTGCGGCCGCCTTCTTAACTCTTTTCATGGTTCTGGGTAGGACACCATAAGTCTAGGGGTAGCTTCCCCATTCTAAATCCAGGGATCCGAATCTTTCTAGCCAACCACCAAAAATGCAGGGAATTGGCGATCGGTTTTGGAAAAGAACGATGGCTGAAAAGAATGGGGAATCAACCCCTAAAATAAGGGACACCACGCGGCAACCAAGCCTGCTGTTGACCTCATATGAATCAATTAATAGGGGGGGCGGCTTTTGGCCCCTCCAAAAGTGGTCGTCAACATTGGCCAAAGGGGAAGGTGCGCCACCCATTTTAGTTTTTTTAGTGGCTGGATTGGGCCTAGGGGTTTTGGTGGTTTGCTAGACAGATTCGGATTTTTGGGTTCAGACTGGGGATGTTGCCAGACTTTAACATTGGAACCTGCACAGGAAACGGTTCCTGGGAGACCGTGTTCCGAAGGGAAGCTGTTCCTGTGCCGGCTCAGGGTACTTGATCAGGGCTCCTTAAAAGATACATTTTGCCCATTTGAGACATGGCTTTTTCCACCAGAATAAAGGGAAACCACCATTTACAAGGCAATGTTCAGGTGTATAATGTAAGGATTCCTGCTGATTTTTGGGGTGGACTATGGTTTACAGAGTCCGACAATCATATGTTCTGTGTCAAATGTGGCAAAGGGAGCAAGACCATCCCCTCAAACGCCGAGTCACCGTGGGAATTTTGCAAGTGGTTTACTTGCAAGGTGAGTGGCATCCACCCACTGCATGGTTGAAGGAAATCTGGTTTCAAGGCCACTTTCCATCCCTGAGTGCTTTCGCTTCTGTCGCAAGTCAGCCCGAAGGCGGATTCATGTGGCCCTCTTTTTTTTTTGAGGGCACCCAGGGCACCCCCCTTTTTTAGTGGTTTTACAGGGAAACACACAAGTTTACTGTTTTGCTGGCTAAAAGGAAATATGAGCGGAGTCCAAAAAGTTAAAGTCTAAAGAGCCAACCCAATAGCAGTAGAGAACAAAAGTTCACCATTTTGCGGCCCCCGAATCCAAAGAAAAGAGGAGCCACCCAGGTGCAACTTGTGATCTTGCCCCCTTGAAGCGATCGCCGCCACGGAAGGGCGTTGCGGCAAAATGGGGCACCTTCCAGTTGGCTGAAATGGATATTTTACTGATTTTCCCTTAAGTTGGTTTTAACGGGAATCGATTTCGCGGCTGGAATCATTCTAGGGGTTGATTCCGAGTCCATTCTGTTCAACCATCCTTCCTTTTAAAAACCAGCTGTTTCTTTGGGTTTTTGATGGTTTCCTGAAAAGAAGGATCCCTGGAAAGAATGGGGAAGGTACCCCCAGAAGCACGGTTATTTGTTCTAGGGGGCTGAAGCACATTGAAGCCACAGGGTTTGTAAGGCCAAGTTGTTGGCAGATGTGTTCGTTGGAGAACAGGATGCCTGGACAAGGCTGCTCAGGAATTCCAGAAGATCCTAAACATCCATTTTCTCAAGAACATGTTGATTTTTCCTTGCTGGTTTTAAAGGGAATCGATTTCACTGGGCATATTTTTATTTTGTCCACGCTTAAGCAAATGGAAAATCTTCTCAACGGACAGAAACATCCCTAGAGCAACTCTGAGTTGCCAAACCCAAGTGGCTTTCTGAAGGTATTTTGTGGGTGGTTTTAAGGGAAAACCAAGGCCAAGAACACTGGGAGTCCCCTAAAGAACACCAGATGCAAGGTTGACCCCGGAATAAACCTGTCCATTTAATGGGGGGGTGTTTTTCTCCAAAATGTGTGAGACAGCTTTCGATCCAAATCACGCGATTGGGGTTCTTCAATCGGGGTTCCCATTAAGTGTTCTCTTTGGTTTGCCTTCAGATGCCATCCTTTGTCCACGTTCGAATGTGAACACGGTTTCATGTTTCCCTTAGGTTCCCAGAGCAAAAGAGAAATTTGAAATGGGAGTAACTCGATCTGCAGAGGTTTTTGCTTGACCTCAAGGTTCGCTAAGGTTGCTTTCACCGTCACATTGACTTTCAATCCTTTGCACCGTGTTTTGTGGTGATGTGTCCATCCCGAAGACTTGTTACCGGAGGTCGTACTGTGACCTCACCGGGCGCCCCTTCCCCATATTTCCCCCAATGCGCGAAACTTGCCAAGAACAGTGAAGCATAAAATGAAACAAGTCCGTGACTTTCAGCTGAGACGCTGCGTCCACTCCTGGCAAGTGCACGGAGCAGAGCGCGCAAAGGCCACAAATGGTTTCACATTGAATCCACGGGCATGTGGGTATTTCAAAAAAAATAATCTCACCCCTCCACCGCTCAAGGGGCAAGGCACCCTTAGGCGTTGGCCCCTAGCGGGCCCCGAGTTGGACAGTTGGGGGGGAAATCCCAGCGCTGAGAGCGACTACAACAGTATGGCCCAGGAATCTCCTCATATTAATCAGGTAGCCCCTAATTGGTGGTTTGGGAATTGGTTTGGGAAATTGAACGGGTCCCTGGTTCTTGTAGATACATGGGGAGAATTGAACGGCTCCCTGGTTCTTGTAGATACATGGGGAACCCCTCCAAAAGCCACCAAACTGGGCTCTCAGCCACCAGTTAGAGGGAAGCTGGATTAAGACCTGAGGCTGCCCCCTACTCCAAATATATATTTGTTTTAACGGTATGATGTCGACCCTCTACAGAAAAGGAGGTAGCTACAATGGAAACCCAGGTTTTTCCCAAAAATACCCTAGCAAAAGGCCGCGTATTTGGAGGTTACGGGGTTATTTTTGTTAGAACCTTTGGGGGCGTTGAGACCCTCTGTTGGGGTGCCAATCCTTTGCCATCCGGCAGGAGTCGCCGCAACATGCGCGGCAGGCCGCGTCGCCGCGCTCATCGGGGGAATGACACAAGGAGATTCCGGGTGGTGCTTGAATGAACCGTTTTTGTGGAGTCTCTTGAGGGAAACCACCAAAGTTGGAGGGTTTACGGGTGCTTGAATGATTTTTTTCGTTGGGGGCTTCTCTTCAAGGAAGTCGCGCTCCTCGTTTTTGTGGGCGCCCTTTGGGCCTTTCGGGCCTGCTGGCCAGCGGTCTCTTAAATCAGCTGGCAGGGACAGGGGGAACCAGGGCTACGGGAGGATTCCCCCGTTTGATGCACCATGACTCAGCTTGATGTGGGAAATGGCGCCCAGAGAATCCCCCCATATCCCCGCTCCCTCCGTATCCCCGCTTGTTCAAAAGGCCAATTAAAGGAAACCGCCAGTCAGTTGGATGGTTTCCGTCGAATCATTGTGGGAGATGTCAATCTTAAGACGCAATAATGTGTGGGCACAAATGCTTAACCAAGGTCCAAGCAAGATCAGCCATCGTTTCTTTTGAGGAAAATGACGCTGTGATTCATGTTTGAAACCTTGTCTGAACCCCGATCTCCGCTGTTTTTGCATATTGTTGGAAGGGTTCCTCTAATAAGCAACAACCTATCGAACGCACCTTCTTTCCTTGAGTGTTATTGGGTTGGATCTTTAGACTTTAACTGTTTGAAAACTCAATGGTTTTTCCATCGAGCCCGCGAGAAGTTTTTATTTTTTTTGCAGAGAGTTTCCATCAGCCACCGAGTTTCCAACAAAAGTGGACAGGGGAATTTGCCCAGGCTCAATGCGAAGGGAATCGCCCGTCTCCCTTTCACAGGGCTGCCATCATTAAAAAAAAATCCGCTTCAGAGTGCTGGTCGCCTTCTTCTTCTTTCCCTCACTGCTCCTGGCCCAGTTTTTCTGTTGTTTCGTGGTTTGTCCATTTTTAAGTTCGGGGGCTGCCAGAAGCAGAGCCATGGCAGGCCCATAGCGTTTGGGTTGTGAATCCCCCATGGCATGGGGCCGTTTGGATCAACTTCGATTGGTTCGACTGAATGGAAGGAGCTCACTGAGAATCGCCAAAAGCCAAAGAGAGGGACATGGGACCTGCGCCCGAAAGAAGGAACATGGATGTGGCTCTAAAGTTGAAGAGCTCGGGATCCGCGGGTTTTAGTCTTTGGCTCCATTTGTCCAAGGTGCCTTTCATTTTGGCACATTGTTCTGAGCCACAGCCAGATGGTCCAAGAATCGGTTCTTGTGGTCCCTCTTTGTTTCTGGGAGGGGAAGAAGCTAGTGCAACTAGGTTTGCCAGTGGCGCCCTTTCTCACGCCTTTTTTTGGGTTGGGAGAATTCCCCTACTAAAATCGACTACCGAACAAAAGAACAACAAGAGGTACCCTTCCATTCCCAACCTCCCAAGCTAAAGGACCTGGATGTTGTTGGGGAATTTTTCCGAAAAACCACCAAAGCACTGGGCTCCAAACCACGAGGGAAGCTGAAGTAAGACCGAAGGCTCTTTTTCTAGGTCCCCAGCAGTGCCCTTTTGCCCCTTTGGGCGGGAGGGTTTCCCTACCCAAAGGCTCCCGATTGATTTCGGGCCTTCAATGAACCTGGTTTTGAGACCCCCAACCACCTCCGGGGTGTCTAATGGAGGGGTCGGGTCTTCCATTGAAAGCCGGAGCCTCTGGGTATTAAAATAGACAGAAAATGAAGTTGGGGTACCCTTGCCCACTCCAGATACCCGACCTTTTTCTGAGGCATGTTTTTTTGAACACCGATGGGGTTTCCATTGCAAATACCGATCCCTTTCTTCCGTTCTTAGAGGGTCGACCAATCATAGCACCCAGGAATCGGCTCAGCCGCGGCTTTTGGGGGGCAAAACCTCCGCTCTCGGGAATGGACTTTTGGGTGAGGCCATTCGTTGGTTGAAGCTGATCACCTTATAAACTGTTCAAATGATTTGTTGTTGTCTTGTTTTCCCCTGTTGGTTTTAGAGGGAATCGAAAGAATACAGCTGGAAGCATGTGCTCATGTTTGCCGGGCAACTTCAGCAAATGAAGTTATGCATCCCCTTCAAAGGCAACTGAGACTCTGTCACGAAAGCAAAGTGGGAGGAGGGTACTCGGCAAGTGTCATGACAAACTTCCAATGGATATGGTCCATTTCTAGGTCCCCCAGCTAGGTGCCCTTTCTCACCCCTTTTTTGGTTGGGGGGAGGGTTCCCCTACTAAAACAGACTACAGGAAAACATCGGGTAAACTTATTCTAACCTCCAAAACTGGAGGACCTAGATTTGGGTAGAAGGGGATTCTTGCTTTTGTTGTTTAACCACTAGGGCACACTCACAAGAAAAAGCCATGGGGGGGTTCATCAAAAGGTCCGATGAACATGGGGTGACCACTGCGGGAAGATGAAAAGTTACCCATGGTCAAAACTGGGGGCCCTTATCGCTTGGGTTGGATCTTTAGACTTTTTTTTTGGAAAAATGTGTTCTCCACTAAACCCCAAACAAGTTGCTCACTTGTTGCAGGGGGGTCCTTACCGCAACCAAGTAAACGGAAGATTGATCAACTGATCCCCATGTCCAATGGACGCGGCTGCGTGGCCACCCACCCGAAATATGGCTGCCGTGCGCCAGGCAGCTTCAAAGCAGGCTGCCAAGGCGGGAGATCCGAGCGCTTAAAGCGACTCGCGGTTTGTCTGGCGCTGGTTTCTTGGTTGCGCTTGCTTGCTTCACGGGGTGCTCAAGTTGATTTGCCAGTTTTCCAATAAAAGTGGCGTAAAAAGGGAAGCAACAAGTGTAATTTGTTGTTCCAGAGCCCAAGAGTCCACTTTTTTAGCACCCGGGCCCGGAATAGATGACTTCATATCTGCCCCTTTGGAGGTTGAAACCGGATGGCCGTGTTTGGTGCAAACAAACGCACTCTTGTTGTGGCATGCACGCTGGAAGCTACCCCCTCCAAATACCCCTTTGGTTTTGTTTAGGGTATGATTTGTCGACCCTCTACTAAAAAAGGGATCGGTAGTTACCATGGAAACCCGATTTTAGCAGGGACAGGATGCATGAGAAGACGTCCAAGCAAAAGGGGGCCGGAGACTGGCGGAAGGGATGATGCAAAGAGTGGGATAAGAATGAAGGCCATCAACCGCTTGGGCGACTTGGGCGTGCTCCACCACTTACCTCTTAAAAACCACGAAACGTTTCTCAACTTTTTGGGTAACATGGGCGATTTCTGTCTGTAAAAGATGAACACTTCCCCAGGGCTTGGAGTTTTAAGGGGTAAGACAATGGGGGTGTCTTAAAACCCCCCCCCCAAAAAAAAACAACAACAAAAAAAGACAGTGTCCTCTTGGTTTCCCTTCCTCCAGCCCCTTTTCCGCCCCAGAAAAGAAAACAACACACAAACACACACAAACAAAAAAAGGGCAGCGGCGCTCCAAAAAAAGGCGCCGGCGCTCCAAAAAAAGGACACGCCCAGCCCAAAGATGCTCAGGGTTCCCTATACTTCCAAAGCATCAACTGCAGAAAACTCACACAAACCCTTTTCGGGTAATGTGTTTCAGGGCAGGGCAAACATACCCCTACTCCAAATACTCACTTTTTCCATGGTATTTTTGGAAAACCTCGTCCATGCGAGTTGGGTTTGCAAGAAACGGGAAAGTGTCGCGGACACAATATGTTGTTGATGGGGAGTCCCCCTTGATCAGCAGCGGTTGGAAGCAGGAAGAGAGAGGCATAGACAGAGGCGGATCCGGACGCAGACGCCGACGCAGACACAGACACAGACAGACAGATCGGACAGAGACAGAGATAGGCACAGAGATAGAGACAGAGAGAGATGGAGATGGAGATGGAGACGGAGACGGAAAGGCAGACAGGCATACAGGCATGCAGACAGGCAGACAGGCAGACAGGCAGACAGAGACAGACGCAGACCGACACAGATAGGCAGACAGGCGCAGACAGACGCAGACAGACGCAGACAGGCAGACAGGCAGGCAGACAGACAGGCAGACAGATGCAGGCAGGCAGACATGCAGGCAGACGCAGACAGGCAGACAGACGCAGACAGGCAGGCAGACAGGCAGACGCAGACAGGCAGACAGACGCAGACAGGCAGACGCAGACAGGCAGGCAGACAGAGACAGAGATAGACACAGACAGGCAGACAGACGTTGACAGGCAGACGCAGACAGGCAGACAGGCAGGCGGACGCAGACAGGCAGACAGGCAGGCAGACAGACGCAGACAGGCAGACAGGCAGGCAGACGCAGACAGGCAGACAGGCAGGCAGACAGGCAGGCAGACAGGCAGGCAGACAGGCAAACAGGCAGGCAGACAGACGCAGACAGGCGGACAGGCAGGCAGACGCGACAGGCAGACAGACGTTGACAGGCAGACAGACGCAGACAGAGACAGAGGTGGACACAGACAGGCACACAGACGTTGACAGACAGACGTTGACAGGCAGACAGACGCAGACAGAGACAGAGATAGACACAGACAGGCAGACAGACAGGCAGACAGACGCAGACAGATACAGAGATAGACACGGACACGCAGACAGACGCAGACAGAGACAGAGATAGACACAGACAGGCAGACAGACGTTGACAGGCAGACAGACGCAGACAGAGACAGAGATAGACACAGACAGGCAGACAGACGTTGACAGGCAGACAGGCAGACAGAGACAGAGATAGACACAGACAGACAGAGATAGACACAGACAGGCAGACAGACAGGCAGACAGACGCAGACAGAGACAGAGATAGACACAGACAGGCAGACAGACGTTGACAGGCAGACAGACGCAGACAGAGACAGAGATAGACACAGACAGGCAGACAGACGTTGACAGGCAGACAGACGCAGACAGAGACAGAGATAGACACAGACAGGCAGACAGACAGATGTTGACAGGCAGACAGACGCAGAGAGAGACAGACAGAGACAGAGATAGACACAGACAGGCAGACAGACGTTGACAGGCAGACAGGCGCAGACAGAGACAGAGATAGACGCAGACAGGCAGACAGACAGGCAGACAGACAGGCAGACAGACGCAGACAGAGACAGAGATAGACACGGACAGGCAGACAGACGTTAGCAGGCAGACAGACGCAGACAGAGACAGAGATAGACACAGACAGGCAACAGAGACAGAGATAGACACAGACAGGCAGATCGACGTTGACAGGCAGACAGACGCAGACAGAGACAGAAATAGACACGGACAGGCAGACAGACGTTGACAGCCAGACAGACGCAGACAGAGACAGAGATGGACACAGACAGGCAGATAGACGTTGACAGGCAGAAAGGCAGACAGACGCAGACAGAGACAGAGATAGACACAGACAGGCAGACAGACGTTGCCAGGCAGACAGACGCAGACAGAAAAAAGATAGACACAGACAGGCAGACAGACGTTGACAGGCAGACAGACGCAGACACAGACAGAGATAGACACAGACAGGCAGATAGACGTTGACAGACAGACAGACGCAGACAGAGACAGAGATAGACACAGACAGGCAGACAGACGTTGACAGGCAGACAGACGCAGGCAGAGACGGAGATAGACACAGACAGGCAGACAGACGTTGACAGGCAGACAGACGCAGACAGAGACAGAGATAGACACAGACAGGCAGACAGACGTTGACAGGCAGACAGACGCAGACAGAGACAGAGATAGACACAGACAGGCAACAGAGACAGAGATAGACACAGACAGGCAGATAGACGTTGACAGGCAGACAGACAGACAGACAGAGACAGAGATAGACACAGACAGGACAGCAGATGACAGGCAGACAGACGCAGACAGAGACAGAGATAGACACAGACAGGCAGACAGACGTTGACAGGCAGACAGACAGACAGAGACAGAGATAGACGTTGACAGGCAGACAGACGCAGACAGAGACAGAGATAGACAGAGACAGACAGGCAGATAGACGTTGACAGGCAGACAGACGCAGACAGAGACAGAGATACACACAGACAGGCAGACAGACTTTGACAGGCAGACAGACGCAGACAGAGACAGAGATGGACACAGACAGGCAGACAGACGTTGACAGGCAGACAGACGCAGACAGAGACAGAGATAGACACAGACAGGCAGACAGACGTTGACAGGCAGACAGACGCAGACAGAGACAGAGATAGACACAGACAGGCAGACAGACGTTGACAGGCAGACAGACGCAGACAGAGACAGACACAGACAGGCAGACAGACGCAGACGAGACAGAGACAGAGATAGACACAGACAGGCAGACAGATGTTGACAGGCAGACAGACGCAGACAGACACAGAGATAGACACAGACAGGCAGACAGACGTTGACAGGCAGACAGACGCAGACAGAGACAGAGATAGACACAGACAGGCAGACAGACGTTGACAGGCAGACAGACAGACGCAGAGATAGACACAGACAGGCAGACAGACGTTGACAGGCAGACAGACGCAGACAGAGACAGAGATAGACACAGACAGGCAGATAGACGTTGACAGACAGACAGACGCAGACAGAGACAGAGATAGACACAGACAGGCAGACAGACGTTGATAGGCAGACAGACGCAGACAGAGACAGAAATAGACACAGACAGGCAGACAGACGTTTGACAGGCAGACAGACGCAGACAGAGACAGAGATAGACACGGACAGGCAGACACACGTTGACACGCAGACAGACGCAGACAGAGACAGAGATAGACACAAACAGGCAGACACACGTTGACAGGCAGACAGACGCAGACAGAGACAGAGATAGACACAGACAGGCAGATAGACGTTGACAGGCAGACAGACGCAGACAGAGACAGAGATAGACACAGACATGCAGACAGACGTTGACAGGCAGACAGACGCAGAGAGATAGAATGATTGATGGATCCTTGAAGTCTTAGGCAGTGCCCAAACCACAAGGGTGGAACACTGCTGTTGGGTTCTTGTCTTGGCGGGTTCCAGACAGGGTTTTATTGGTTTTTAGTCGGTTTAGTGCGAGTTCAGAATTTAACCCATTACAAGCTGAAAACGGAACGCCCCCTTTCGTTTGGAGCCAAATCTCAGCAGTTTCAGGAGAAGGGGGGGGGGCAGGGAGCCCAAATAGGAGCTTAACAAGGGCTTCCCGCGATCTCCCACCCCCCCCCCCCCGGCCTCCGCCCAAAAAAAAGCTTAGCGAGGGCTCCCCCCCAACTCCCACCCCCCACCCCACAAAAAAAAGAGAACCCTTCACCCCTTCAACCCCCTTAAACCGCTTACACCCCCCCAAACCCCCCTTTAAATGCCCCAGTTTGGAGCTTTTTGGTTTGCAGCGGCGCATCGCGGGTTGCAACAGAAAAGCCAAGGCCTCACGAAGGGAGGAAACCTTCAGCCGTATGGTGGCGGAGGCGCGCTGAAAAAAACCCAGAGGCGTTTGCCGGATCCCCTAGCATACGTATCATATATTGTATGATATGTGTTTATGTTTATACACACAAAACAAAGGACCACTAGAGTAGGACTGGCATTGAGGTCATACAAAGCGGCAAAAGAATAGCTGAGTTTTTCAAGGGGGCTATAACCGCCATAGTGGTCATGACTTAGTTTGGTTTTATGGTACCGACACCGGCAATTGAAGCTTGAAGGACCGGCGATGGTTTTCGGCTGACCTGGTATTGTCGCCCGGGGAAACGCTTAGGAGATACCAGCAGCCCGGAGGAGAATCACATGAACCCTCTGTTTTTGCAGACCTATTGGATCCATGGGCGGTGCATGCTCCTTTGAAGGTTTTTGGATCCTCGGTACTTCGAAGTTGAGCGGTATGTTGTGCGAGGCTCGGTAGATACGGGCCATAGTGTAAAAGTTCAAGGGGTACCTTCGCCATTCTTTCCAGGGATCCTTCTTTCTAAAAATCAAATAAACCCAGGGGAAACGGCTGGTTTTTGAAAAGAACGATGGTTGAAAAGAATGGGGAATCAAACAATAGAAAAGTGTTGTTTTTCCCAATGGGGGCAACAACGGATAAGGCTGATTTCTCAACTCGGGTCCCCACACGCTTTGCTCGTGGATTCTCGGTTGAAGTGAATCAACCTGAATTGATCATATTTCCATTTTCGAAGCCAGGTTTCATCCTGATCAAAAGGCGAAGCAATGTCTTTATTTCTTATAAGATAAGGGGTTAAATACTTATCACTTCAAATTATTCCCCGGTAGCCATGACCAAATGTTTTGACCGTCTGCCAACAGTCTCATTCCAATTGGTGTATGGTTTTGATCTCCCTGCTTTGGGTTCCGGATACTCATCCCAAGCTACCCCCTACTCCAAATAACCCCATTTTTGGTGGCAGGTGTTTGAATTCCTGGGTTTCCAGAGTAAATACCCGATCCCTTTTTTGGTAGCGAGCCGACATATAGCGGCCAAGAGGGTATTGGGTGTGAACGGTTTTTTTGCTCCCTGATGCCCTCATGACATGGAACATGCGACGCGTTGACGGTTCTTAGCGCTTTCTTACGCGTTGACGGAGCCTTGGACCGATTTCATTGGAGGCCGCTGGGGGTTCAAGAACCCCCTCAGATTTCGGTCTCAAGAAACTAGGGACGGAGGTTTTGTGCTGCTTCGTTTGGCGTTGGGGAAGGGAATCAAAGCTTTACGCAGCTGGTACCTGTTTGCCAGCCCAAATTCGTCGATCCCCACCCTGGGTTGATCGGGTTGATGGGATCACTCAGCTACGATGCGCCTGAAAGAGGTTGCAGTGAATCTCTGACGTCGATCTTGGGAGTCTCAGGCCACAATTCGCCGCGACAGCCGAGTGAAGATGGGTTGACAATGAAGATCTAGCTTCCGTGTCCAAGGATTTGAAGCCTTGCCAAGAGTTCCGGGAATGCCGCTCAAAACGGGATCCAAGGATTTAAATGTTGCAGTTTGAATGCACCCAGAAGCACCTTCCTCCTGCGCCATAAAGGTGGATGTTCACTTGCCCAGTGGAGATGGTTGCTCCATCGAAGTCTCACCGGAGACGCCAATCAGCCAGCTGAAGGCTGCAGCACAGCAGCAGTTCCAGCGCCGCTTGACGCTCATTGCGAAAGGCCGGAAGCTGGATTTGACGGCCACGCTAAGCGAGGCCGGGTTGCGAGATGGGGACGCAGTGGCTGCGTTTGTGCAGCTGAGCCAACTGGCTGCCACCGAAAAGGCGTTTGCTTGGCATAGCCACGGAGGCGAGGTTGTGACCTGGGGTAATCCAGCCTATGGCGGAAACAGCAGCCAGGTGCAAGAACAGCTGAGGAACGTCCGGTGCATCCAAGCAACTGTTCATGGTGCTTTTGCTGCCATCCTTAAATCTGGGCATGTTGTGACCTGGGGCAATCCAACGTTTGGCGGACACAGCGGCCAGGTGCAAGATCAGCTGAGGAACGTCCAGCACATCCAAGCAACTCGCGGTGCTTTTGCTGCCATTCTCGAATCTGGGGCTGTTGTGACCTGGGGTAATCCAGCCTATGTCGGAGACAGCAGCCAGGTGCAAGAGCAGCTGAGGAATGTCCAGCACATCCAAGCCAATGCAGGTGGTTTTGCTGCCATTCTCGAATCTGGGGCTGTTGTGACCTGGGGTCTTCCAGAATATGGCGGAGACAGCAGCCAGGTGCAAGAGCAGCTGAGGAATGTCCAGCACATCCAAGCCAATGCAGGTGCTTTTGCTGCCATTCTCGAATCTGGGGCTGTTGTGACCTGGGGTCATCGAGACTATGGCGGAGACAGCAGCCAGGTGCAAGAGCAGCTGACCAACGTCCAGCGCATCCAAGCAACTGAACGTGCTTTTGCTGCCATACTTCATACTGGAACTGTTGTGACCTGGGGTCATCCAAACTATGGCGGAGACAGCAGCCAGGTGCAAGAGCAGCTGAGAAATGTCCAGCACATCCAAGCAACTGAGCATGCTTTTGCTGCCATTCTGGACTCTGGGGCTGTCGTGACCTGGGGTTATCCATCCTATGGAGGAGACAGCAGCGAGGTGCAAGAGCAGCTGAGGAACGTCCAGAGCATCCAGGCAACTCATCGTGCTTTTGCTGCCATACTTAAATCTGGGGCTGTTGTGACCTGGGGTTCTGCAGCATCTGGCGGAGACAGCAGCCAGGTGCAAGAGCAGCTGAGGAACGTCCAGAGCATCCAAGCAACTGGCACTGCATTTGCTGGCATTCTTGAATCGGGGGCTATTGTGACCTGGGGTCATCCAGACTGTGGCGGAGACAGCAGCCAGGTGCATGAGCAGCTGAGGAACGTCCAACACATCCAAGGAACTTTAGCTGCTTTTGCTGCCATTCTTGAATCTGGGGCTGTTGTGACCTGGGGTCGTCCACAGTATGGCGGAGACAGCAGCCAGGTGCAAGAGCAGCTGAGCCTTTTTCTGCTGGGCTGTTGTGACAGCGGATCCATGTAGCGAAGAGCTCTGCAGCGCCGAAAGTGACCAAAGGTATTTGGACCCTCAAACTACCAACTTGAAGATGGGGATTCTTGCAACCCAAGATTATGGCTGGCGAATTCTGGAGCCCCACACGGCTGGTTTCTTTTTGGTCAAAAGGCTTTGCCAGCAAAAGAAGAATTAAGCCCAGCCAACAAGCCGTGTTTCTCCGTTTTGCTTTCAACCTTTTATCGACGACATTTCCAGGTTTGATACACCTGGGGTCTCCCTAAGCACCCGAGATAAAAATGGTTGGCGAGCAAAAATCATGGACAGGGTCATGGAAATTGGTCAGAAAATTTAAAAAACTCCAGGTACGGCCAAGCACGGGGTTGGTGCGAGGATTTCAGCTGGCACAGACCGGCTTCGGCTTCTTCGAGTCCAGGCGACTGGGCTCGGCTCATTCGCCCGAGACGACGGGGAAAAAATGGGACCGAAATCGGCGCGTTTTTGTTTGGCTTCGGAGCGCCTTCGAAGGTTTGCAACTTGGACATGTTGTTCCTTAAAATAAACTCCATTTTGCAACCAGTTGAAACATGCATGGCTTTTTGAACACCAAAACAAAGAAAGTTGGACACCACCATTTACAAGTTGCAATGTTCAGGTGTATAATGTAAGGATCCCTGTTGGAGGTGATGGAAAAAACTTAGGGACCCTCGGGGTGATTCGAGGTTTTGGGCTATCTTTTTCTTGGATCAAGATTTAGTTTCCCGTTGAAACCAAACAGGTTGGTACCAACTCCAAAAAATCGATTCACAACTTTGCCAAAGCATGTGGAATGTTCAGCGTTGTGTGCGTGTGCCGAAAATGTGGAGTTTTGAATATTGCCTTTTTGACCGAACCCGCAACGATGATGGTCGTCCGGAAGAATTGCTTGAGCTTGACGTAAAAGTTCAAACTTTTAGCAGGGGAGCAGAAAGCAATCAAGACTTGTTGCAGTTTGCCCAGGTTTGGCTATGAAAAATGAGGAATACCCTGCCGAATGATTGGTGGACAGAAGTCTGGCATGAATGATTGACTTCCTGAGTTCCTTGACTTATGTTTTTTGGGTTTGGACTCATATCAGTGCATTACTTAGTTATTGAGGCCCCTGCAGTATATCCCGCTCTTTTGGATTGTTAAATTCCTGGAAACCCATATGGGACGGTTTTTTTGTTGTCTCTGCCCATACGGCTTGGGCCACAAAGAAATGGCCATACGGTCATCCCCGGCTTTTTGTCAACAATTTGTTGAAAAAAGACGGGCTGCATACGGCCAAAAATTCGGCCACCGTCCAGCAAACATTGAGACCACACGGGAAGAAGCGGAGAAAAAAAAAAAGGAAAAACAAACGCGGTAACCGATCATTGAATCCGGCCGTACGGGTTCCGGGTTCGAAAACATGTGGCACGGCTTTCCAGTCGATTTTTTGGCCACGCCTCTTTCCGATGTTTGCTGCCGGGTCCTTGGGTCCTTGTGCTTGGCTCGCGATCCGCGTGGGCATTGCTCTCCAGCGACCTGAGGTCCGCTCCGTGAGCCCAGCAATCCCGTCGGGATGGTCGATCCAAGGAGCTCGCTTTGGAGCGCTACCCCTGCCAGTTCTGGGATCAGAATACACGGAATCAGGATCTTGTGTCTCAGGTTTGTGTTTGACAGTTTGAATGAACCCAGAAAAAGCTTCCTGCGCCATGAAAGTGGACGTTTACTTGCCCAATGGAGATGGCTGCTCCATCTCACTCCCGGCAAAAAGGCCAATCAGCGAACTGAAAGCTACAGCGCAGCAGCATTTCCATCGCCGCTTGAAGCTCACTGCGAAAGGCCAGCAGCTTGATTTGACTTCCACGCTGCATGAGGCTGGGTTGCGAGATGGGGACGCAGTGGCTGCAGTTGTGCAGCTGGGCAAACTGTCTGCCACCGAAAAGGCGTTTGCTTGGCATAGCCACGGGGACAAGGTTGTGACCTGGGGTCATTCAGAC